GTAATTTAGCATCACTTACGTCCCGGACAAACAGAAGAAATTTAGAGGAACTTAATACATAATTTAAACCATTTATAATCACTAGGAATAGTAGAGGGGACAAGTGTCCACCCTGTGGTACTTTCGAGGTTACTTTTAATTCTTCAGAGATAGGATTACCTATTTTAATATAATATTGAGAACGACCTGAAATATAATATGATGATAACCAAGCATGGGCTCCCCAATTCCTATCTTTTTTAATTTGGAAATAAGCATTCCGTGATTTCAAACGCCTTTTTTAGGTCTGTATAAATGGCATCAACCTGGTAACCATTTGATACACAATCTATAATATATGTGTAGTATCCATTAAATTAATTTATGTAGTATATTGCTGGCACATATTGTGATAGTTCAACCGTAAAATACCTAATAATTGCTGTTAACACACGGCGTTCGGATACGATGTATAACCTACTCCGACGCATGATATTTCGATGACACCACAGATTTATTATATACTTATACACCATCGTTAGAATAATTCAATGCGATCATAAATTATGTAAATGCAGTAATAAGTAATAACTAAAAAAATAAAAATAAAAAATAAAATAATTGTTCTCCTCTCACAATCAAACATTGAATAATAATTAATTGCCATCGCTTTTTTATTAACCATGCTTGTTTTAAATGATTGAATTATATATATATATATATTTTTATTTTTCGTGTCGAGCAAAACACTTGTCACTATATATAATCAATATAATTACAAAGCAAATGTGTTTTTTAAAAAAAAAACATGTATAAAATTGTGAGGTTTTTCTCGGATTTTTTACTCGGAAACTAGACGCACAGGAGAAATTCTGAGTGTACCTATATTTGTATTCAACATGAAGAAGTTATCAAAACGTGGTTTCATCGTTAGCACAAAAATCACTCAAATTTTTTTGAAACGCGTTACCTTTAAATTGCTTAAATTACAATATTTTATAAAATAAAATTTATATTTTTTCATCTTACTTATATAATATCTAAAATAAACGATTTTTTAGGTTAAGCATATATTATATCTTTAGCGTAATGCATTATTATTACATCATTATTATTTGATTTTCTGCTTCACCGCTTTCACATATTATGTATAGTTGGTTCATCTATCAACAGTAGATTATACCTTATTCAAATTTATGTGAGCTAACAACAAATTTGATCAATGCACGGCGTAGGTTTTTTTTATTACACAGTAAATCCATATTTTCCATATTAGAATTTATTACCTAGTAGGTGAAAAAATACGAATAAAAAAATCAATGATTCATGTATTATTCATGAACAGAGGTCGCAAATGTCAGTGACTTGCCATATTCATTTAAAACGATCATCTGTCAATATACGCAATATCCTAAAATTATTCATGGTTTCTAAATCTGCAAATAGATAATTGTATGACAGATGGTAGTTTTATTTACCTTTTTTTTTAAAAAAAAAATGAATGTTATTATAACGATTTCTGTGAAACTAGTTACAAAATATGGTACAAATGTTTTTTCCATTTATATACAGGATGGCTCATTTAACGCTGGGCACTTATTTTCCCTAAAAATAATTAGAACATTGTAGTGTTTCTTTTTGGGAGATATTTTAGTATATATTATTTTACAATATTAGACAACACTCAAGGTTTTATCTTCTTTGGTAAATTCTAGAGCTCTATCAACTTTTAAAACTTTTATAATGTATTATAAATGTATATAATGCCCTATATTACATATAAGTATTTAATTTGTCTTATAAACTTTTAAAAATAAGAATAATTTACAAACAATATTAAATGGTCGATAATTAGTTTAGAGTAATTATTTTTAAACCCCAACCTAATGATTTCCATTTTCAAATAATATTGTAATGTAAGTAATAATGTAATTATGAATTATTTAATTGTAAAAATAATCAACATTATTTGAAATTATAAATGTGGTAGAGATTTTGAAATCATTATGAATATAAAAAAATAATAATATTTAGTAACCCTGTGAGCCCCCTTCCCTTGATAAAATCCTGCGCACGTGCCTGCCCTGTATGTAACTTAATTTATCATCAGCTGTAGCAGATTGATGAGTATAATTTTGACAACAATGTATGTGTGTTACATTCGCTTATCTCTTTACTATATGTTAATGACAAGCAATTAATCGTTGGTAAAAAATAATAGAATGGTAAAACAAATATACAAGCTTCTATTTGTATAGCAATTATTTTTATTAATCGATTAGCCGACATTTTATTGTGCCGATTTGATTTGCCATATTGACTGTGACAGGATTAAGCCTTGAAATTATTTGTTTAAATATTAATCTTATACACAAACAAAATTAACCTATTTAAAAACAGTTAATGTTGCAGCCAAATACTATGTTTACTAACGAATATACCGTCAAATTTAAATTGTTTCTGTTTCAACTATCAAATGATGAAAACAAAAAATAATTGTTTAAGTGTTTCTTAATAAGTTTTTGTCAAAACACTGGGGGAAAACAGTAATTTATTTAGTATTTATTATTAGTAGTAATTTATTAACGAGCTATTTTATTAGTATGCATATTATGAAATTGTTTAAGTAGTTTATGTTTTTAATATACCTTTCAGTAGACTAACAAAACAAACAGTAGGTATTCAGAAAAACAGCCAACGTAGGGCGTCTCAAATTGTTAGCCATTTACATTGGTTGAGCCTTTAGCTAGTTTTCAGTAAACTCAGAGATATACAATTTAGAAAAAAGTAGAATGACCGAAAGTAACCCAACAACAACAACAAAAGACGTAGGTAAATGCTTTTAAAGTGATGAAAAGAAAATGTTTCAGTTATATAATTTATGCAAAAGTTTGGTTTTTATTAAAGAAATATATTGATATGGATATTAGGTGTTTTGACTGGGGATCAATCTAAAATTTGCTATCACTATATATATAAAAAATATATAAATAAAATATTAAATGAAAAAAGAGAAAGTAAGGAGAGGTGAGGGAAGGGAAAGGAAAAGTGAGGGGGCATATATCAAATCTAAAAACAAGACTGATAGGCTGATAAGAGACAGAAAATCAACTAATCATATGACATATTCATAATCTATTGTCTCTCCTTCAAAAGAAAAATGGTTTACTTTTTCAAAATAAAATTTAAAAAAATCGTTATTAGTTACATTTATGAAATATGTATTGAAATGTTGACCAAAAAATATGCTTAAAAAGTAGTTTGAAAACGTTTTTTTTTCAACAAATTTTACAAGGTCCTAAGACTAACAGTCTGAAAGTATCTACGATATTGACGAGTTTAATAAAATTTCTATCGGGTTGGATTGAAATGGTTTTATAGAACTTAAACATTTAAACAATTATCTACATATGGTTAGGTTTACAATAATATTATTAAGGCAGTCCTCGTATGTTATAAAACTTGAAAACCTTGTGGAATACAACTATATGTATTTAAATAAAATAATAAATAATATTTATTTTGGTATCATACTTTTCTACTAATGCATAGTGTACTACTTTAATACAATTTTTTTAACCGAAAAATTCGGAAAAAACCTAACCTAACCAAGCGGTCGTCAATTGTATTATAATGATGGAGAGATGGGGTTGATTTAGTTGCGGAGGAGCGGTAAAAAGCGATATTCCAAGGTACTAGCTCGTTCTTGCTTGTATACAAAGTTCGGGGCCTAAGCGGGTCCGACTTGGTCTTTTATTTGAAATCGTTTATTTGCTCTGTTGATTCTATACGTTTGATCGGTTCTAGTCAAAATTATGAAACCGCATTAAATATTGTCCCGCAACACATATTATCTATATGTATTATATCTTTACATCGTTAAACAAAACCGTTTTGGGGCGATAGAAGCATTTTAGCAGCAGCACAACCGAATCTAATATGTTTCGTCGAACGGCGGTGATTTATTATTTATTTTGAAAAACCACGTAAATAACGTACGGTATTGAAATAATATATTTTCTGTGGCTCGTTCGTTTATATTGTGCGCGAACACACACATAATAATAATTTCAAAGGCATACAATATATGGTGTATCGCGTCGTAGGGGGTGGGGGAGGGCATGTCAGTAACACGTCGGCAACCATGTTCTTCTGTCGATTATCCTGTGTGTGCATGTGTTATATATATATATATATATAAGTATGTGTGTGTGTGTACCGTATGTGTGCCCTCTGCGGGATAACCGGCTACCTCGGATTCAGTAGCGAAGTGTGCCCGCACGGACGTCAAGAACCACCTACTACGACGACGGCGACATGTATAACGAATGAATGAATAACAACAAAATATAATGTACATTATTATTATTATATATATAATAAGTGGAATGGGCAAGAACGGATAAAATATATTATTATTATTATTACACACACACACACACAACGAGAGCGCAGGCGACCACACACATTGGCAACATTATATTATCTTCTGTGTTATATATTATTATTGTTATTTTACAGAGGATAGAACGTTTTATTATTATTATTAAATATATGACTTCCAGACTACCTGCGTTACCCGAACCGACGTCGACAACGGTCTTTGCCACCCGCGAGATCTCGCCGCCGATGTCAATCATATTGACAGTTCCGTTGTTGTTGTTGTTGCTTGTGCTGCTGCCGCTGTTGGCCGGGCACACACGTCCCAATATAAAACGAAAGACTCCGAAAGTGGGGTTGAAAGCGAGAGGGAGAAGTGGCAGATGACGAAGGAAAGGACGAAGAATATATAAGTAACCACCGCACCTGTCCAAATAAAAATATATAATACTATATTATGTTTCCAACCAGGGTGAAACCATATGCATTCTTTATGAGTCAACTTATGTGCGCGTGTTGACGAATCGGTGGCTAAATATTGTTTTTTTTTTAATAAACTCCAAAAGGTGTTACTGTTAATATTTTAACCCTACACTGCTAATTCTTTTTTTACAAAATAAAAAAAAATTGACATTACATAATGTTAGACAAGGAAAAATATATTTTTCGGTTAAAAAATTTAATTAATGTACATTAATATGGCTCATAGTGTATGAGAAGATAAGGCTCATACAATTTTAACTCGGCGGTAGCTACCTTCTAAAGATTAATATTTAATACCTATAAATATTTATAATATTGATTGGATATATATTCATAATAAGAAACATTTTTTTTTTTTGAGAAATTAATCATGCTTATGATAAAATTTATTATTTTAAATTCAGCTTTTTATTATGATCACGATTGATTTTACTTCAACAGCACTCTTTTTAGTTAAATATTAATAATAACCCTTTCAAATTTCAATGCATATAATTTAATTAGACCTGTTCTTAAAAATAGTTCGAATGAATTATTTAAGGCCTCAATCTTCCATCCGACTGCAAATAAATGCTCATAAATAAAAATACTTCCAATATTTCTCCGCAAAATATTGACTTTAACCGGCTTCTCAAAGCATTTACTTCCTTTTTCTCATTTATATTATCTTTAAACAAAACTGGTACTTGACTATAGCGCACCTAGCGATAAAATCTTATTAGGGATTATAAAAAAGCATAGAAATACAAAAAGCACGGGCTTTGTATTAAAGGTTTTACAAATTGAGGATCACTGCTAACAGGCGGAGTATGGAGCAAGCGCCAGTTTTCGTGAATTTATTCATTTTACTAGGAATATTGTTAAAGCGTAAAACACATTATATTAACATTTTATCCAGAACAAATTCTAAAAATGTACATCTCTTTATTAAACCTTGTCTCTCGAAATCTCTTAGTTTGAACAGGTAATTTATTAGTATTATTTTTAATTTGAGGTTTGATGATAAATATTAAGTCATATAACTCATATAATATGGTGGGAAAAATTAAGTGCTATGAAGTGCTATTAAGTCAGCATTTTGCGTAGAAACTGTTGGATAATATAAATAAGCCTGACTATACTTCAATTATTATCTCACAAGATACTTCAGAGCATCCCCCCGCCATTTAAGCATGGACCTCAGTAAATATATAAATGTATATAATATACGATAATTTTCTATTCCAAAAAGATTTATGTGATCCAATTATCGCGTTAGTAATGGACAGATCAACGGTTAAAATAGAAACCAATAATTTAGCTTATAGTATTGCGACCGAGACGGTAATAATAATTTCTATCAGTCGCAGTACGCAATAACAATATTGTGGAAATGCGCTTGAGAAAAGAAGAAAAAACGTTAAATAAATAAAAAAAGATTACCGATGAATTACACAACAGACAGATCACAGATGAAATGCAACAGACGCGCTAATGAATTAATTTGGCTTGAATACAGACAGACATTGTTATTTGCTCCGACACTGACAGAAACAATAAATCATTGTTTATATCACACACAATAATAAAAAACAATAAACATAACGGAAAACTAATACTTAAAAACAAAATACCGATAATAGTCGACCGGCGTTAAAATGTAAAGAAATTAATTTATATATTCATGTCTAGGTGACTTAAAATATATTTTCTTTTGTGTGTATTTTTGATAAAGAGAGGAAACAGTAATTGGAATTTGAGTTTAAAAATGTATGCCAGAGAGTTCAATAGACTAAGGACAACATTTTGGTTTAAGGCTATTGCATAACAGAAGCACGTACAATTTCTAATCATTCCTAATTTAGAATCAATCCGACCATTGTTTTTTTTTTTTAGGAAAAGTTGAAGTCTAAGTAGACATTTTAAAATGCGTCAATAATTTTTATAAATAGTATCTTAAAATTAGTATTCGACTGTAGTATAATTTTGTTGCGATAAGTACGGCGTGATATTACAAAAACAAATTATTGAATTTCTTTTTTAAACGGAGTTTTGAAATACTGAATTAGTTTGTCGTTCCAATTTTCCGTTTGACTCGATTTGAAGTAATCAACGACATGGAAATCAATGGGATTCATAGCCGTCCGAATACTTGCCGTGTAGCTGACAAAACTGTCGGTGTTTTCTTTCACGTTCCCTTTAGACAGCAAAACTTTGACGGAATCTGTCAAATGTTTCTTTTTCAAACTCGTCACTCCAATCGACTTAAGAGTTTTGTTTAATTTATTTCTCAAACTCTTCACACAGTCGTCGAACGTGCCATGCTTTCCGACACTTTTAGCGGGATCGCACTGATACGACATTAGCTTCTTGTAGAAATCATCGTTCTCCAAAGCCAAAATATTAACGGAACTCGTTAAGGGTTCAAAAATTTGGCCCCACGACGATGTGCCCGTCGGCTGGACCGCGAGTGAGCCCGCGCTGGTTGACTTTTTGTCGGCTTTGAACGCCATGAAATGTATCAGAGTGTAATACAACGAAGTGGCTTCTATGGTTTTCTTGACGATACCGTGGTACCCGTCGAACAAGTAAGGTTCGGTAGTCCATTTACTTTGCAGGACCGCCAACTGGGCCGTCATGGTTTTCTCAGCGTTTTTCCAATTGATTCCATTCAAAGGTTTGAACAGCGTGTTAGTGTTGTACGACAGGTCTCCCAGGAACAGCCGGAACATCGGGAATTTATCGCTAAGTCTGTACATAGGTAACAGCCTTTGGTCGTCGAACAAATCCAAACCGTCCACCGTGAAATACATCTTGTCGGCTACCCAAAGGGGTACGGCCGGACCCATGTCGTCCGACAGAGAGCAGCTGTTGACGAACGGGTCCACTTTGGTTTTGAGTCTTTGTTCGAAAAACTTCTCGGATAAGAACTCGGGTTTCGATGGCTTGTCCGGAGACAAACGTCTCAGCCAAGCGTGCACCTCCCACATCCATTGGTCGGCAACGGTTTTTCCCAGGTACAGGGCCGATAACATTTTGGTCATCGCGGTTTTATATTTGTTCACCAATAGGTCGGTTTCACCAAAGTACCGGCCGTCGGGTCCGTCTAGCACCACGTTGGTCAAATGATCAATCATCGCGTCGACGACTCGCCCATAAATGCACTTCAACGACAACATCTTGATTTCCAATTTTATTTCCACCTCTTCGTTCAAGAAAATCCCATTTCCCGACAAATATTTCACGTCGTTATCGTCAAACACTTGCTTAACGAGATTTCGAACGGACGGTATGTAATTCAATGTACGAACAAACGTTTCGTCGTAAACGACTTTGCGTTTAACAGTCGCCTGCGGACATACAAACAAATACTGAGTAAGTTTTCTCCGAGAGTTCTGATTCGCACACTATTGTCACGTAGGAAAATCACAATACAGTTTTAAATTAAAAACATTATTTAAACAACTAAATTAAATATTATTTCATTCGTGTATGATACATTTAGTGTTTAAGATTTTAATTTATAACGCCGCCGAAAAAAAAAAGGCAAAGTTGCAAAATACATTTGTAAATGTTTTCTAAATTCATTGGTGAGAAAACCGGTGTTTCAAAAACAGCGGATTCCTAGAAGAAGTTATTTTGGTAGAAACGAAACTTAGAACTGCTTCCTTTCATGTCTGACCTAACTGAGGATCGAGGAATTGGAAACGATTCCGTTTTTCTAGGACTACGAACAAAAATTATAGCGTCTTTTAAAATACATTTTTTATAAGTTATTGATGGAATATATATATATATTTTTTTGGATTCTTATAATAAATAGTAATTACAGTTTTTTTGATATCCGTTATGTTCTTATGTAAATCAATAACCAGAAATCTTGTGTGGTTCAAGAATCAAGAGTTGATAAAAAATTGTCGTTAATCTTTAAAACTGTATTCATTTTTTTGTACAAATTGTATGGCTCTACTCTTTAAACCTAACCAAACACTGTTTAAACTTAATCTAACTGGAAGTTTAGCTTATCTGCTATTACTATAATTAGTAATCTATAGTTTGTTAGGTACATCTATGTGGATGACAGTAACAGTGTAGTTATTGCATCTACATTGTACAATATTATAGTTTATCCCTCGTGATAATAAAACAACACAATATAAAAACCTTTAACTAAATAAAATCTTTTATTTATTACCTTAAAAATTAATACCGATGAAATATATTATTAGGAAGTCTTTTTTAATGAAAAAAATAGTCAACAAGTAATGTAGTTTACAATACCTTTTTGTTATTTGACGCCTGTTCGGTTTTCAACGCAACAGTGCTAAGCAAACAGATTAATCCCAAAGCGTACATGAATAAATCCATTATTAACAATATTCTGAAAATTTCCGTGTCTACAACATTGACGTGATAACGTCCACCGCCTGCTATTTACTGTTCACTTTATGCAAATACTTTAGTTAGGGTAGGCTTAGAGTTAAATTCATTGCGAAATAATTACCACGAGGATTCATCTGTATCCATTGTAATGTTAAACTCGCTGAAATTTCGAAAAGTTGCCACAATACGCAACCGACTGACAATTATTTAAAAATTTCACGAACAATAATTTTAACTAAATACTCGCTATAGTATAATGTGAACATAACATAATAGTTAAGTACATTCGTCTCTGTTCGTTTTATTGTTTTTTATACCTACTCTATTTTTTATGCAACTGTTATGAAACATGTTTTAAAATTGTTAAAAAAAAAATATATATATATATATATCTCACTGGCTTTATTAATAATATAATTTTTTTTTCCATAATGTTTTTATACAATGTGATCTAAATCTCTCACCATTTTTTATGTTTTTACCCCTCCCAACTTAGTGTTTTTGATAGCAACTTTTGAAACTTAAATGGTAACGCATACATTTCATTAACTTTTTTAATTGAGAATAATGTACTAAAAATTATGACTGATCGATAACCAGTTTTAGATAACTATTTTTAAAGTTTTAAGAGTTTAAAATTTAGGATGGAAGGGGAAATGCGGTTGGGAAATGCGCGCAGATAAAAATAATACTTAACTTCACCTTTCCTCCTGCTCTGAACTTCAATAACTTCAAAAATAGTTATATATATATCATTATTGATTATATTATATGTATAGTAACTACAGTGTACAAAGTACAATCTTTATATTCATAGTATACTTTTCTATCATTTTGTTAGACATCCACATTATTTTTAATCCTACTCACGATTCCACACTTTGTTCAAAACGAAAAATATATTTTAAGCCGTACACAATGCTTACTCATACAACATAATGCAATAAATCCTTTTACTGTCAGTGCGATAATAAACAACTCGAATTAACACGTTGTACCGTAAACATGTTTACCGCATACCACGCGCTTTATGTAAAAAAAACTATCAGTCAGTTTGTGTAGTATTTATTCGCAGATAATCCAATCAAAAAATTTGAAGCATATACATTTAGACGAGCATATAAGGCGTTTGTTTGCTGTTAAAACCATAGAAGCAGATTTATTTATTATTTCGGCGTCTATATTCTTTTGACTTTTAACAATATACCTATCAATAAAGAAATTATAATATTTTATTATAGTTGTTAACATATTATACATACATAGGTATAATATAATGACAGAAAATATAATATTAATTTCACAAATAATTTAATAACTATGTTTGTCTAAATGCTATAAATTATGCATTTATTAAAATGCATAATTTAATAAATGAGCTATTTTCAAATTGTCAAAAATCTATTATTTTACCCAAGATACTTTCCCCCAAACTTTAAAACATTTAGGATATATTAATATTTTTTAAACTACCCACCTAGCTTAATCTAAACCGACTGATGTTATAAAAATCACTGAATTGAATAGTTAAGAGTTAGAAATTGGAGGAGGAGGTAAGTATCCTCCAAAATTGACTCAAACTCACTTCAAAACATGTATTCATTATATGATGTAGATTTAAAAAAAGGTTTTTATTTTATTTTTAGTGAAGAGGCAAATAAAAGTATAACTTCATTGAGTAAAAATAATTTATTTCTAATTGTTATGTCTAGTCGTTGTATGGTAACATTTATTATTATTTTTAGGGCTAAAATCAGCCTAGGGTATTTTATCTCGTTATGCTAACACCGTTACAGTTTATACTATAAATATTTTGTTTTATTTGAATCGAATAATGTAATAGCTATAATAGCAGCTATTAAAATTTTGTTTTATGGCCATTCCGATTTCTAACCGACTTGAGTCGTTGGCGTATCATGATGATCCATTGCCAATCAACCAGAATGTGTCGACTTCTCCATAATGTATAGGTATTATACCGAACGGGTAACGGAAGTCACGTAAAACTATATTATTATTAGTATTCTACAATACACAACAACGTTGGCACTGTGTGTACACGGTAAGCATCCGACAGGTTAGGTGAGGCCCGCTTACACGGTAAAATCAACTCCGGCTGCAGTTCAGAGCTCATATTTCACCGCAGCAGCTCTACACATAATATTATTATTATTATTATACTGTAACGGCCAGTGACATACGTGAAATACGATTCCTTATTTAAATGCACGGAAACAAAACAAAAAAATCTAAAGAAGTAAGACGAGTTAATACCGAGATATATGGTTTTCCCAGCCTTTACCTCACAGCTATAGATAATAAGCACGGGGAGATTTATTGGGGTCTAGGGTCATCAGCATGTAGTTGGGCGCCCGGGACACGTCGTCAGATTTCGATTTAAATGTCTTCATGGCCGAAGACGCGCTTATCGACTTGTGTTGTGTGTTATTGTGTATGTATACGATGACGCGAGATAGCTCTACGAGGATTTGAAACAGAAAAATAAACGGCACGCGGCAGCACAGAATATTATATTAGTACAGTATAAACGTATTATACTGTGCCATAAATGTAATACGGATAAATTGAGCTGATAGGAGACTTTTTTCCCCTCTGAAATTCAATCACACCTTCTGAATGGTATGCAATAAAACAATTTATAACGGATTCGAAACAAAATAGGTATAACATTATGATATAGATTATAGAAAAACGGATACAGAAAAATATATGAATTGTAGAACTCTCATTGCAATAATATATTTCAAAAAAAAAAAAATACTCAAGTAATATTGAAATAACAAATTTAAAGATTTTAAAATAATACAATTTTAACAAGAATATTTTTGTATCATGTTTTTGGAAGAGAATCAAAATATATTACAAGAACTCAATAATATTTCCTAAACAAATATTAATAGATTATTATTTATAACAAACATTATTATTTCAAATAAATATTTTTTATTAGAAAACTAAACTACATTTTTTTAGGAAATAATGTATTATTTCTTATTTAAGGAGCCCTTGCGTATTTTTAGTTCAAAACAACTCAATCTAATCATAACCGTACTTTGAAACGCGTAATCTGACAATAGTTTTGAAAAAAGATATTTTCTTAGCAACAACTTGCTAGATTGAAAAAAACTTAAGAAATAATTAAAAATAATTTTAAAGTTGTGTCATGATCGATACCTTGTAAATGTTAAGAAGAATACAAATGTTTTTTAAAAACTCAAATCAGAGTAATCTTAGAAACGTCCTTAATTACACATTACCAAGAAAAATAATTCATATTCTGAAATCAAAATTACTATTTATAACCACATGGTATCACATTATTTTATGACATATTTGTTTGTTGAACTTTGCAAAGTCATTTGCAAATGTCTATTAAAACGCACACACACACACACACGTATATATATATATATACTATATACTATAAACTGTTTTAATAACTAAGTAAACTGTACGTTAAAAATATATCACGACCAGTTTTTTAGTTACTTCCGTTTTGATTTATGTTTATGCGTAGGACTTCAGTGAAAGTTTTAAAGGAGCTCGCGGTGGAAAGCCTATGACAGTTGTTTTTCATAATAATTCAATTTAATATATTATATTGTTTATGTCCGTAATGTATACATGCGCATAAATTTTAAACTAGATTTATGTGACCTATTTGGATAAGCATGCTATAATAACATTAAATTACGATTATGGTGTAATATGATTAGTAAAAGATTTTATTTTTGTACGCCAGATATAAAAAAATATAAAGAATTAAAAACGGTCATCTCTTGAAATTCCTAAATTTATCACGTTGAATATCACTTATACAAGCTACGGTTATAAACCATAAATATATGAAATATGAATATACTTAAAGCAATTAATAAATTTAAGTATACTTATTTATATTTTGTCGTTAAAACGTATGATTGCAGTGCATTTGTCGAAATTTGAAACAACAATAACTAATAATAAGTAGGGTTGTCCCGCAACGTCCAATACAAAAAAAAAAAAGACGTTTGAGCGATTCTAAGGGTCATGTCGAAATTGATTTGTTTGACAAGCCGCATAACGTAACACTGGCTGACGTTGGCCAGTTACATGTTGTATATTATGTTATTATGATTAATACGGCGAAGTACCGTAGCAGTAGTGGATCGAGCAAGCAAGAAGTTTAATGCGTGCTCGGGGACGGTATGTAATGAAGAGTGATAGCTTATGTAGCGGGTCGAAAACGGTTCGTTTGCCGAAGCGCAATACGATTGGACAGCCGGAATGAGAAACCTTCAGGATAAATTGAAAGTGGCAACCAATGGAAGAAAATAAATATCTATACATGTATACACCGCACAGATTAATATGTGCGTGGTCGGTGCAAGACGAAAGCAGTATTCGAGGTGACGAGATTAGTGGGTGGGGGGGGGGGGGGTGTCACGGCAAAAGAAGAGTGAGAACAAGGTTAACGCGACGTGACAGGCCCGGAGGGGACACGGTTAGAGGGGTGGACGTAAACGAAATTTTCCTACTACTACTCCAAAGTCTAAAGTATAGAGATTTACCAGGAAAATCTATACGTCCGGGAATTTCACGCATACAGATAAAACGGCTTGACATTGTCGACAACAGTTGGCAATGTAATGGTAATAACATTTTCGTAAGAACATGTTCGTTGTTCGTGTTGGTGAGTTTTTCAAGTATAAAATCATTTTCACATCAATAGGTGTATTATGGCGTTGGCACGTCGAAGCCTCAACAGTCGAATTGAAAATATTGCAGACAATTTGAAATAACGTCTCGGCTCAGAAAATATTCACTATATTTGTTTACTATGCAACAGCGATAAACAGTTCAAAATAACATCGGCGGAGTCGTAAAAGCGAACGAAGTAAACAAAAATCGGCTTCGGCATTAATAATGAGAGCTCTGTAAGTCACAAATAAATGTCTGATTATTTTCCTTCAAGACAACAGGTAACCAGAATATGTAAACAGGGTGTAAGACATGTGATAGCCTCACTGAAAATTCATCGAACAATGTAAAAAATAAATTCTATATCTCACTGTCGCCATAATTGAAGTCCTATATTGAAACCTAAAATACAACAAGCAGACTAAGAATAAATGTATTGTGAATAAAAAAAAATCATCTTGAGGCCTTACCATCCGTTG